ATGTTGTGAAGGCCAGGACTTTAACAGGATTCAAGAAAGAGCTAGATAAATTCATGGGGGTTAGGTCCATCAATGACTATTAACCAGGAGGAGTAGGAATGGTGTCCCTAGCCTCTGTTTGTCTGGAAATGGATCACATGATTCCCTGTTGTATTCACTCCCTCTGGGGCCCCTGGCATTGGCCACTGTGGGCAGACAGGACACTGGGCTGGATGGACCTTCGGTCTGACTCGGTACAGCCGTTCTTGTGTTCTTATGTTCTAAAGCCAGGTGCATGCAGACATTTACACTGGAATAACATGGCAGTAAAGCTCATTTGCCCTGACCAGTCATACCCATATTAGCCGGGAAGGGATTTTAGCAATAGCATATGGACACTTTTGCACTGGGACAAGATACATTTTAAGGGCATAAAGTACCCGGTGTCCCCAAACCAGATACACCACACAAGCCTAAATAGTTTCATACTTGGCTAACGGCTTCTGCACTAGGAGTTTTGCCAATTTAACTCTTAAGTTTGCCAGGGTGGCCACCGGCTGCTTGCTGGCCAGACTTCCCCTAAGCACAGCAATCTTGCCTTCCGTCATTTTCTCATTTGCTGCTAAGCAGCCCCAAGGTTCTTGAAGAAATGCAAAAGCCAGATTTCAGTACTGGCCTGAGTGATGGTACTTTGCTGTCTTGGTTCCACACAAGTCACCCGCCTGACTTCAGTCTCTGCTTTACAGAGTTTGGGGCAATAGTTTATTAGTTCTCTGCTCCAGGCATCCATTGTGTGGACCAAATCTTCTTCACTATTGCCCATTAGCAAACCTGAGCAGAATTATTTATTTCCAGATGTACACACAATGTATATAGCAGCCGCTCATCAAGGACTAACTGAACATTCAGCAAATGACCCAAAAAAAGCAAATGCAAAACAAGTGAAAATCAAAAAGGGAGCAGAAAAGCCTCTTTTTAAAACCAGGGCCTGTTTATTTGTCTACGAACCAAGTTGACAGCACTGCAAAACATGGAGTGGAGGTGCTCTTTTGTGCCTGCTGCGAGTCATATTACACCTGGAACTAGACATCAAGAGGCATGATTTGAAGATAATTAAGGACCCAATTAAAATCCAACAGCTCTAGCTCAAAATAACAATTCACACCCTTGCTAACATCTGATGCAGTTCCTAAACTGAACAGAGGAATGCTTTCTGAAACATAAAGACTGCATAAATCATGCTTGCAGGAAACAACTGCAATCAGAGCCTTCCCAGCATTCTCTTGGGCCACCCTGGTCTCATGCAGGGGAGGGGGAGAGGAGATGTAGCACACGCACTACTGTTGTGTGCACAGTCGAGCTTTACAAAAGTTCATCTTCAAGGAGAGGATGCATTACAGTCCCTGGGAGCTAGAACCGCTGCTTCAGATAAGTGCTTTCTTTTCAAAGGGTTTCTAGGTTATTCTTCTATTGTTCTATTGGTGGGTTGGCTTTGATTTTTCTGAAACAAGTACATGCACTGAAGTATTAAAAAAAGCCAATGAGCAATCTGAACTCCTCCCGTTCTCTTGGTGCACTAGCAATCAGCAAAGCCCTCACTGTTAACCCAGCCATTCCAGCAGAGCTGACCTGCCCGGGTCAGAACAGACACAAGACACCCGCATTTCGCACAGGTAGCACAAAAAGAACAGGTGTTCCACATGCCAGGAGTGCCTGATCAAATTAAATCTCTATGATTTACAGCAGGAGTTCTCCCCCACTTACATCCTGTTAAGATTCGAGGGACTATGGTGAGTTGCTAGGTTTATGGCAAAATTGACGAAGGTATTAAACAACCTTACAGAAATAAAGATCCCTGACAGGAAAGCACAGCAGGGGGTGTTAACCCCAGAAGATACAACTAGCTAGTTTAGATGGGTTGAATTAACCTTGGAGGACAACTAGAGCCTTTGAATTTAATAGGCTCTTATGAGCAGCTCCTTCAGCCCTTGTGCTGAGAAAGGGGTTTCTTGAAGGTGAATTGAGGGAAAGGCGGAAGGCGTCTCACCCAGCCGCGAGGGGGCTCTCGAGGGAGAAGGCGGAAGCCGACTCCCCCAGCCGCGAGGGGGCTCTCGAGGGAGAAGGCGGAAGCCGACTCCCCCAGCCGCGAGGGGGCTCTCGAGGGAGAAGGCGGAAGCCGACTCCCCCAGCCGCGAGGGGGCTCTCGAGGGAGAAGGCGGAAGCCGACTCCCCCAGCCGCGAGGGGGCTCTCGAGGGAGAAGGCGGAAGCCGACTCCCCCAGCCGCGAGGGGGCTCTCGAGGGAGAAGGCGGAAGCCGACTCCCCCAGCCGCGAGGGGGCTCTCGAGGGAGAAGGCGGAAGCCGACTCCCCCAGCCGCGAGGGGGCTCTCGAGGGAGAAGGCGGAAGCCGACTCCCCCAGCCGCGAGGGGGCTCTCGAGGGAGAAGGCGGAAGCCGACTCCCCCAGCCGCGAGGGGGCTCTCGAGGGAGAAGGCGGAAGCCGACTCCCCCAGCCGCGAGGGGGCTCTCGAGGGAGAAGGCGGAAGCCGACTCCCCCAGCCGCGAGGGGGCTCTCGAGGGAGAAGGCGGAAGCCGACTCCCCCAGCCGCGAGGGGGCTCTCGAGGGAGAAGGCGGAAGCCGACTCCCCCAGCCGCGAGGGGGCTCTCGAGGGAGAAGGCGGAAGCCGACTCCCCCAGCCGCGAGGGGGCTCTCGAGGGAGAAGGCGGAAGCCGACTCCCCCAGCCGCGAGGGGGCTCTCGAGGGAGAAGGCGGAAGCCGACTCCCCCAGCCGCGAGGGGGCTCTCGAGGGAGAAGGCGGAAGCCGACTCCCCCAGCCGCGAGGGGGCTCTCGAGGGAGAAGGCGGAAGCCGACTCCCCCAGCCGCGAGGGGGCTCTCGAGGGAGAAGGCGGAAGCCGACTCCCCCAGCCGCGAGGGGGCTCTCGAGGGAGAAGGCGGAAGCCGACTCCCCCAGCCGCGAGGGGGCTCTCGAGGGAGAAGGCGGAAGCCGACTCCCCCAGCCGCGAGGGGGCTCTCGAGGGAGAAGGCGGAAGCCGACTCCCCCAGCCGCGAGGGGGCTCTCGAGGGAGAAGGCGGAAGCCGACTCCCCCAGCCGCGAGGGGGCTCTCGAGGGAGAAGGCGGAAGCCGACTCCCCCAGCCGCGAGGGGGCTCTCGAGGGAGAAGGCGGAAGCCGACTCCCCCAGCCGCGAGGGGGCTCTCGAGGGAGAAGGCGGAAGCCGACTCCCCCAGCCGCGAGGGGGCTCTCGAGGGAGAAGGCGGAAGCCGACTCCCCCAGCCGCGAGGGGGCTCTCGAGGGAGAAGGCGGAAGCCGACTCCCCCAGCCGCGAGGGGGCTCTCGAGGGAGAAGGCGGAAGCCGACTCCCCCAGCCGCGAGGGGGCTCTCGAGGGAGAAGGCGGAAGGCGTCTCACCCAGCCGCAAGGGGAGCCTCCCCACGATAGAATCATAGATCACTAGAACGGGAAGGGACCTTGAGAGGCCATCGAGTCCAGTCCCCCGCCCTCATGGCAGGACCAAGTACTGTCTAGACCATGGGTTCCCAAACTGGGGGGCGTGAAGAAATTCCAGGGGGGGCGTGAGGCGACCCAGCCTCCCTCCCATCAAGTTTTGCTGCCCTGGTCAGTTCCTTTTTTCCTTTTTTTTGCTCGCCAAGTTTTGTTGCTATTTTGGGGGCGGGGGAGGCGTGAGGGTTTTCAAAAATCAAAAGGGGGGCGTGACGCCAAAAAGTTTGGGAAGCCCTGATCTAGACCATCTGCAGTAGGTGGTTTAGCGTCTCCACTGCTTGCGCAGAAAAGCCAACTGTCCCTCGAGCACTTGGGAACGGGGCAGCCGAGATTTCCAAACAGCACGAGCCCCAGCCATACAGTGAAGAACTGGCTGCTCTTGCTGGATCTCATTCCCTCTTTCGTAGGAAACAGACCACTTGCCCTTGATCTTCCCTTTGCCTAAGTCTGCTCCCATATGGTCAACCCCAGGTGTTCAAACACCATGAACCAGGCCCTCAGAATCACGAGACTGGCTTTAAAAAGATGAATTCAAATAATGTCCAGGTTCTTTTCTGTGCCTTTCAGTTCTGAGTATCTCTCGTCCGTCCGAGTGACACTTCCGAGCTTTTCCTAGGGAGCAGGCGGCCTGACGTTTTGTAATGAAACTGAGATTCTTCTTCCCTGCATGTGTTCTGTTGTGGGGTGCGCATGCAGCTGGAGTCAGAGAATTCTCGCAGGCAGCGTCTGCTGGGTCACTCGTGGGCCCTGCAGTTTCCTCGTGCTTCCAACCAAAGGATGGAGCAGGCCAGCTGCCTCTCCAGTTCCTTCTGGCTGCTTCATGGCTCAGCTCTGCATCGCCAGGGTCCAGAGCGCCCCTTCAATTTCTTTGCTCTGTAAATACTGAAAAGTTTGACTTAGCTCCTCTTTCTATGGATCTTCAGAATCAGTGTTAATGGTTTCGTGGCTTTTGGCACATTTCTAGCTAGACAGAATCCCTACCTAGGTGGAGCTGCATTGTCGTTTCAATGGAGTTTCATCTGCTTACCCCAGCAGTGAAATTGGCTTGCCTAACCTACCACTTAAATCGTGGAAGATACAGTACTGTATGTCCATGGGTTGAAATCCTGGCCCCACTGAAGTCAATGGCAAAATCCCCATGACTTCCATACCGGGATCCACTGGAACTAGAACAGCAAAACGATACAACAGCCGTCTACAGGACAAGCCTCAAGTAGCATGTTGAGTGTTCCCTAAGATGTCTTCCACTTGGTTCCCTATCAACTTACTGGCATACAATCCAACTACCTAAGTAGATCAGGGTCAAGCATAAGAGGTGGGTACAAGGTATTCCACACACCCAAAGCTACACAGCAAACTTCTTCCTTTACATACAGTGACAGATTACATTGTATTTCCTATACACTCCATCACACGTTCTGGGATTGGCTTGGTCACTTTGTAGGAACCGATCCATGTATCCATGCTGTAAAGTACACACACTGGGGAACTGATCACTTACTTTGGGAAGATGGAAGTCATGAGCGCTGATGCATACCCAGGTTTGCAAACTCCCTCAGAGAAATTTGCATACTTTGATGCTAGTTCTGGAGGCCTGTGGGAAAAAAGGACAAGAGTCAGGACTTTCCAGAGGATGTAAATGCTGAATGTGTTACCTAAATACTGTTATAATTTAAATCGTTTCCCTAACAGCGCTTCTCCAAAACAACTATGAAGAAAACTAACAAACAGGATTTTTGGTTTTTACATTAATATGGAGAGTATCAAACCACCGTGGGGGTCAGAAACACATGAAAATGGACCACTAAATGATCACTATTTCTATTGAGGACTTCAAACTCTTAGGAAGGTGAAGCTCCAGGAAGGAATGAAAGCTGTCCAGATATTTTAGACTTCAGTCTCTCCAAAAGGAAGTGAAAATGACAAGATAACAAAATGGCTTGTTTCAGACATTTTAATCAAATTACAAAGCAGATTTCCACTAGCCTGCAGTCATCGGCCACTGATCAGGCTTTAAAGGGCACGGATCCTTTGGGCAGCCAGACAGACAGAGCTGCCATTGTTCTATTGGGAAGTGGCCTAAAGCACGGTTCATCACATGATTCAAGAGTAGAGCAGTGACTCAAGACACAGAAGCCTAAAGGGAACAGCATCTACGAGTGGCGAGAGCTTAGCACTCTGAGAAAGAAGATGCGAGTCTAGTCCACGTTACCACAGACTCACTGGTTCCCTCGGCTACTCCTCTTATTTACCTTTTTTCAAGGCAAGGGAACACCCATAGAATCACAGAATCCTAGGGGTGGAAGAGACCTCAGGAGTCAACAAGTCCAGCCCCTGCCCAAAGCAGGACGAGCTCCAACTCAATCAACCCAGCCAGGGCTTGGTCAAGCCGGGACTTAAACACCCCTAGGGATGGAGAGTCTACCCCCGCCCTAGGGAACCCAGCCCAGCGCTTCCCCACCCTCCCAGGGAAATAGTTTTTCCTAATCTCCAACCTAGACCTTCCCCCCTGTAACTTGAGCCCATTGCTCCTTGTTCTGCCTCTGGCCCCACTGAGAACAGCCTCTCTCCATCCTCTTTGGAACCTCCGCTCAGGGAGTTGAAGGCTGCTCTCAAATCCCCCCTCACTCTGCTCTTCTGCAGACTAAACAGACCCAACTCCCTCAGCCTCTCCCCATAGGTCGTGTGCTCCAGCCCCCTCAGCATTTTGGTCGCCCTCCGCTGGACCCTCTCCAATGCGTCTACATCCTTTCTGTAGTGGGAGGCCCAGAACGAGATTCAATACTCCACATGTGGCCTCATCAAGGCCAAATTAAGGGGAATGATCACTTCTCCAGATCTGCTGGCAATGCTCCTCCTAATGCACCCTCATATGCCATTCGCCTTCTTGGCTACAAGGGCTCCCTGCTGACTCATATCCAGCTTCTCATCCACTACAATCCCCAGGTCCTTTTCTGCAGAACTGCTGCTTAGCCAGTCGGTCCCCAGCCTGTAACAGTACTTGGGATTTTTCCGTCCCAAGGGCAGGACTCTACACTTGTCCTTGTTGAACCTCATGTTTCTTTTGGCCCAATCCTCTAATCTCTCTAAGTCACTCTGGACCCTATGTATATGTGAATTCTAGGGAACAGCTCACTTCTGTTGGTTTAAGAAGAAGAGCTCTTTAAGCAATGTGGCTCACACACATCTAGCAATCGAGCAGAGATAAGGAAGAGTCATTTCAACTTGGGAATTTCCTTTTTTAGAACCTTCCTAGGCTTGTGGTTAAGACACAGGCTGAAGATTCCAGACCTATGGGGTCAATTCTCAGCTCTGCCAGATTTCTCGTGTGGCCTTAGTCAAATTACTTAACTCGTTTGTTCTTCGTCTTCGGGCTTGCCTATTTACGCTATCAACGCCTCAGAGTAGGGATTATCCTACCTATGAGTAAGTGCAGGGCTTAGCACACTGGGGTTCCTCTCCTCCTTGGTGCTACCACCACACAAAGGAAAAACAATAAAAGGGGGACAGTAAAAAGTGCCTCAGGAGTTAGCAGCATGAGTCCAACTGAGACATTCGGGGGTTATGTTCTTCACTTCCGTAAGTGATTTTAGCAAATAACGGAGTCAGCAAGCCACGGCTCCAGCCACAGAGGGTGCAGTCCTACGACTAAAGAGGATCGATCGTGTGGTCAAGGAACGCCAAGCAGTTCACACACACCAAACACTTCGGCACCGCTGTGAGATAAAGCGTCTCTGGAACTCAGGAGGCAGCGTTGTGGGGGAGCGTGCTGCGGCAGTCAGCCACACCGTGGCACACTGTAATCCAGTGGCCTCCAACATGCCTATGCCCACATTTAAGGGCAAGGAAATTCCCCAATGCCACGCCTGCTCCACTCCCCCCACACTCACTCACTTTCCTCAGGCTGGGGGAGGGCTCCAGGCTGGGGCAGATTTCGGAGTGTAAACTCTGGGAGGGAGTTTGCCCCAGGCTGGAGCCCCCCTCCCTGCCAGAGCGCACAGCACTCACTCCTGCACCCCAGCATTCTGGGGGGAGGAACTGGCTCCGAGCTGAGGGAAGATGGGATGAAGAGTAAGGGCTCTGGGAGGGGGAGGGGCGCAGGCTCAGGGCAGAGGGAGTAGGAGAGCGGGGGCCACAAGGCGCTTACCCCAGGCAGCAGTGCAGCGAGGCTCAGGCAGGCTGTCTCTGCTGGCCCCATATCACTGCTGGAAATGGCTGGCTGGCTGAGGGCAGGCACCCCCTCTGTGTGTGGCCCCTGGGGGGAAGGGGATCTCCATATGCTGCAACGCTGCCCGGTGCCTGCAAATGCCACTGCTGCTGGTAGACCAGTTCCCAGTGGACAGAAGCTGCTGGAGTATGGAGCCCCCCCCCCTCTGGGGCTGCAGAGACATGCCTGCGCTCAGCCAGGCAGCTGGTTCCAAGAGCAGCTAGGCAGCTGGCTCCAGGATCTACCAGTCGATCACGATGAATGGGCTGGTGACCACTGCCGTGAATGAGGGGAAAGAGGGAAAAATGTCGATGCACTGGCTAACCTAAGTTCCCACTAAGCTGCTGGCCACGCAGCAGGCTACCAAGGGCCACGCAAGCATGCAGACCCAAGAACCTGGAGAGCAGAGATTGGGGGAGAGCAGATGGGGGGCCTGCATTCAGGAAGAGGATGTGAAGAGGCTGGGAGAGGCGCTCTCCCCCCAGCCCAGGTACTGCTGTGGGGAGAGATGGCTGAGGAAGAGTCTTCTTCTCCCCACTTGTTTCTTGGGGCACCTTGCTCCCCAAATCCCTCATATCCAGCTCCATGCCAGAGCCTGCACCCTCAGCCGGAGCCTTCCCAGCCTGCCCCTGCCCTCAGCTCCCTCCCACACTCTGACCTACTCAGCCCTCTCCCATCGCCTATCAGCTCCATACTGGTGCATATAACACAATTCATTCCATACATGGATTAAAAAAAACAGAGGGAACACTGGGGGCAAACTCTACCACATACGTGACACTAGAACTTTACTGTCTCAACAGTGAAGCACTGATAGGACGGAAAGCCCCTCGGTTTGTGAAGGTTTTCTCCAACGGATCCTGGCAACATAAACTGCATAGCATGGAATTCACCTATGCCAGGAGAAAAAGCAGAATCAACCCTGCCTGGATTTGAACCTGGCACTCCAGAGCCTGGGTATTCCAATCCTCAGGCCCAGACTGCTCAACCACTGCTCCTGGTTTAGTGTGATACTGTATGATCTGCTATCCACACCGGGGTCCGTTAGTGGTGGGAGAGACGTGCAAGGAGATCTATTACAATGAATCAGGGTGTGAAACAAGGGTGAATTTGTCCCCAAGCCTCTAACATATATGCAGGGTTCATGGATGCGGATCAGGAAAAGTTCATGCTTGTGACCAAAAGGAAACAGATGCTTTTGAAGTGTGCTGTGAGCAAAGAGTCGAGGGTGTCTCCGGGGTGGGAAAACAAATGCCAATGTTAGAAATAGTATTGGAGCGTCCCGAGGTGGGCAATCAACAGACACACACACGTGCTTTGGCCAAACGAGGATTGGAAATGGAAAGAACCCGAATAAAGTGACTAGGGCAGGGATGGTGGACGATCATACGAGTAGGGGTCGCCGAGGGGCCAGGTGACTGGATGGGGTGCAGCAGGTGCCTGGAAAGCTATGATGGATTGGGAAGGCTTCTGACAATTCTGTCATGCAGTCGTTTCATGGGGCACGTGCCCCAAGAGGTAAAGATTGGACTTCGTAGTTTTATGGCAGCTGCGAAGACGGCTGAAGAGACCCACTCGAGAGAGACAATCTCTGCCACGTGTCGCATTGTAAAGGGGATGATTGAGCCTCTGGATCAGTGACGGGCAGCCTGCAGCCCATGGCCACGGGCAGCCCACTGGGGCTCTGAGTGTGGCCTGCCTGGCATTTTGTTTCCCACGGTCTCTGTGCAGTTGCTAGATTCCACTGGGTCCCGCCCGTGTCGTCTTTTTCCTGCCAGTCTTGCGAAAGCAACATGCACGTAAAGCAAGAGCATGTGACGCGGGCACATTCCAGTTGCACACAAAATTGGCTGAGAGCCCGGCGCATCCAACCCCAGTGCTTCTTATGACAACCTGGCAGCCTACTGAGATGAAGGCGGCCACTAATGCAGCCCTCTCTCCAGCCTAGGTTGCCCATTGCTGCTTTGGGCTCTGCCTTCTGGGAGCTGCTTCTTCTGAAACTCCAGAGGCCTTTGTTAAGCTCTTGTTTCCAAAGGCTGCAGTCCTGAGCGTGCTCTTCCCATTTGGCCACGTCCATGTCCGTGTCCGTGTCTTTGAGATCTTGCTTGCCCACATCCGAGAAAAATCCAAGGCCATTTCCATCACAACTGATTTTTCTTGGTCTGCTATAGCACTGCAGTGGCTACGGGGACATCCTTTTACTTCAGAAATGTGCATTTTCTTTCGTTTAGGTCCATGTCGTAATCAGTTCTTTGATAGCTGAGGATAACGAGGCTGATATGAGGTGAGGTGAGTCCACCTTGTGATACGATTCAGCCGGTGCCAGTGGCCAGCTCTGAGATGTTTTTAAGACACTTTGTGCTGGAACAGTAACAAAGTTCTAGCAG